AATTTATTGTTTCAACCAATAATAGTTAAATTAAAATATCATTTAAATTTCCATGGGAGAATGAATAATCTTTACCAACACCTATTTATTTATGAATGCTCGGTGTATCTTCCATAAATCTAACAGCTTTAGGCTTCGTTTGGGAAGTGGATTGGCTTTTTAGCTTTTTTATTTTTTTAGCTATTTTAGTCTGGGGCTAAAAAGTTTGGTTTGGAAAAGGCTTTTGGCTTTTTTAATTTTTTTGACTTTTTTGTGAGAGAAAGAATGTAATGATTATAGGTTGGATGTGATGTTTTGTCTTATTGAGCTAAAAAGCCTATTTTATTTTTTGTGACTATTTTAGCCAAAAAAACTCGAAACCCATCTTCCCAAACATAGGCTTAAGCCTTCGTTTGGGAACTTGAGTCGGAGGGTTTGGGATTATTTTAGCCATAAAAAAATAAAATAAACATTTTTGCTTAATAAGATAAAATATCACATCCAACCTATTACATTCTTTTTCGCACAAAAAAGTCAAAAAATTATCCTAAACAAGGCTTCAAAAAAAGTCAAAAAATCAAAATGTCAACCCACTTCTCAAACGAACTCTAAATAGGTGTTGGTAAAAATTATTCATTAACAAATCTAGACGGTGTCCCAACTTGCTTGTCCAAATATGAATGGTGTGAAACAATTTTCTGGGCAATGAATAATTTCTCATTGGTAAAACGATATGAACAAAATTAAAATCCATTATATTTACTCCTTCTGTCTCAAAATCATAGTCTGTTTTGCAAAATCTAACTTTTTTAAATGGTACAATTATTACATTTAAAAAATATTAATTTTTCGAAATTACCATTTGATAATATATTTCTTGAAAATATCAATTGTTGTAATTATACTTTTGTGCTATTAATGAATTTAAAAGAAAGACAAAATAATAAATTTATATTATTTTATTTTTTAATATTTGAAAATAAATTAATGTTTTAAAATAATAAAAAATAAAATAAGATATTAATATTATAAAATGGAAGAGGTATTCCTAAACTAACAACAAAATTTTTTATGCTTTATAAAAGGGAAAATGTTTGAAATCCCTTTTGGGTATGATCTACATACCCTAAAAGTAATCCTGACCCTCTATATATGTGTGGAACCTACTCATATATGTGTAGAATTTACATTTTAAATGATTTAGATTTATGAAAATTTTATAAGAGTGAATCTCAATGATTACTCTTATAAAAGTTTCCAATACCTTAAAGCTGTCAAAAGCTTTTATCAATATTGATGTTCCGTGTATCTTCCGTACATCTGATAGCTTTAATTGATAACATATTGGAAGCTTTTATAGAGTTTTTTTTTTAAATATTCTAAAAAAAAAACAGCAAATCAGATAATTTACTTACTTTTAAAATTATTTAAGAAACTAATCTATTTTTAAAATCGCATTTTAAATATGCAATTTCAATTTGAAATTGCATATTCAAAATACGATTTCAAGTTGGCATGGAGTCTGTTGCGATGAAGTGGTAAGTTAAAATTTCATTTTCAATATGCAATTTTAACATAAACTCGTATTTTGAAAATACGATTTTAAGTTGCGTAATTACAAAACCCATTCTAAAAATGACATTTGAAATTGAAATTCAGCAATTGCTTGGCAGATTGAAATTCCTTTCACTTCAACATTTTTTAATATACATAGCCAAACTATTCATATTATTTTAGTACATTTATATTTCTATTCATGTCAAATCATCACTTCCTATATGTGTGTGTGTTGATTTCTGACCACACTGCCAAATATATTAAAGTAAATTTTGAGAAAAAATAAAGACTCTCTTAATGTAATATAGTAAACACTTTAATTTTAACATAATTACATTGTGTTCCCTCATTTTAATTTGTATAATACTTAATTTTCATCAATAATTTTTTTAGTTATATGGATAAGAAAATAATATTATCATCTTTTGTAAACAAAATTCTATATTTTACATTATTTATTTTGTACGTACACAATATCGGCATTAGTTTCGGTCCATTTCACTTTACTAACATATATTAGCGTAATTATATGAAAAATATGAGGCTTAATGTATTTTTTTTTTTGAAAAATTCAGAAGAGGTTAGTGTAATTTACAGTGCACAACATAAGATTTTTATTGAAGAACCACATAGTGGTATGGTACAAATTCAAACTCTAATGCATCATTAGTTAATTCGACAAGTTAATACATATGTTAATAGGTAGTCACAAATGCCCCATGCATTATTAGCCTTACAAAAGATAAAGTCAATCTGAAAATGTGATAACTTTCTGAATCAACAACCTACATAAAATTACAGCTATGTCAATTGTAATGTTTTTCATTTACTTCATTTTACTCATAAAAATATAAATGTTATAACACATTTTTATATTAAATTTGGAAAGAAAATTATCACATTTTCAAATTGACTATATCTATTGTAAGGCTAATAATGCATGTTACATTAGTGACTACCTATAAACACCTATAAACATATGGGGGGATTTGGTGATAGACTCATTATTGTCTAATTTGTCTTTCAAATAGATAAGAATTATATAGATCCTTTCAAAACCTCATAATATTTTAAAACTTGTTTATTTTACTATACTATCCTCATGTATATATATATCAGCTCTCTTATAAAGTCGTCCTCACAGTATATTTCAGAGTAAAAATTTACTCTGAATCATAGTAAAATTTATTATGATTCAAAGTAAAATTTTATATCATTAAGCACATATATTGCCTTAGAAGTAAAATTTTACTCTCATCCTATTAAACAAAAATAGAACACATACCAGAGTAAAATTTTACGCTAATTCTGTCAAACAAAAATAGAGGACATACCAGAGAAAAAAAAATAAAGAAATAGCGAGATAGATAGAGCACATATATTGCCTTAGATTTGGTTCAAACCAGAGCAAAATTTTATTGTCTGAAAAACAGAGCATGATGATGAGACAAAGAGAAAAAGATGAGAGAATATAGATCTGAGATGATAAATCTCAAATCTAACATCATCAATCTCAGATCTGAAGTCTTGGACGCTAAGGATGACGATGGTGGCATCGAATGGCATTGGTGGTTGAGATGCTAGTGGTGAAATGGTGGTGGTGGTGACAAACAACATCGATGGTTAAGACGGTGTTGGTGGGGCATGACAGAAGTGGTGGAAACGATGGTAATCATGGTAGTCGTGGTAGTAGAGATGGTGATGGTGGTGGCGGTGTAGACGGTGGTGATGGTGGTGGAGAGAGCTCATAGAAAAGAGAGGAGAAAGATAGAGAGTGTGTGTGAATGGTTAAATTTGCCACACAAAATATAAATCTAAAATTTTTTGTCCTTTACACAAAACTTTATAATTATGAGGGGTTTTGAAAGTATATATATATATATATATATATATTTTTGGGTCCTTTTAATGAGAAAAAGTAAGTAAGAGGAGTTTATGGCCAAATTTTCCAAACATATGTATTAACTTGAAAAATTAACCAACGATGCATTAGAGTTTGAATTTGTACCATACCACTATGTGGTTCTTCAATGAAAATATTATATTGTGCACTTATTATCTTTTAGGATAAATTACATTGATCTCTAAAAAAATTTTAAAAAATACATTTATGCTGTGTTTGGTTGGGGGATTTGGGGAGGGATTTGGAAAGGGAAATAGAAAAGGTAGGTGAAATGTGAATAAATCATGCCTATATTTCACATAGTTTCACACACCTTTTCCCTTTCCCTTTCCCATTCCAAATCCCTCCCCAAATCCCCCAACCAAACACAGCATAAGTGTGTATTTGGAAAATTGCTATATTAATAGACTATTTTAGTTTTTGACTATTTTAGTAAGTTAAAATTTTTGTGTTAAGGAAAATGATTTGATTTTTTTGTAATTGAATATAATATTTGTAAGAGAAAAGTAAAATGATTATGAATTTAATATGACATTTTATTTTATTAGTTATTTTAGCTTTGTCTTTTTGTGAATTTTAACTTAAAAGAAGCTAAAATTTTTCTTGCCAAACACCCCAAGTCTCACATTTTTTATATAATTACGCTAATTTCTCTTTTAGAAAGGTGAAATAAACCGAAACTAATGCAGATATTATGGAAATATAAAATAAATAACATAAAATATACAAATTTGTTTATAAAGGATGACAATATTGTTTTTTTATCCATATAACTAAAAAAATTATGGGTAAATTACAAATATACCCCCTGAAGTTTGCTTAAAATACAAATTGTCTCCTGTGGTTTGAAAAATTACAAATACCCCCCAGACAAATTCTTTTATTTAACAGAACTAATTAAAAAAGTAAAATTTCTAACTGTTCACCAATACAATAATAAAATTATATGAATTATTATTAAAAACTGTTAATTAACTTAACAATTTATTAATAAAAAGACATATTTGTTATGAAATTAGAAACCTTAAGGAGGCATAATGTAATTTCTAAAATCATAGAAGATAATTTGTAATTTAAATAAAGCTCAAGAGGAGTGTTAGTAATTTACCCTAAAATTGTTGATGACAATTAAATATTATACAAATTAAAATAAGAAAACTTAATGTAATTATGTTAAAATTATAGCATTTACTATATCTTGTTATGGGAGTCCTTACCTTTTCTCAAAATTTACTTTAATATATAGGAAGAGGGGAGAAAAAAACATATAAGAAGTGATGATTTGATATTAATAAAAATTTATATGTAGTAAAATAATATATATAGTTTAGCTATGCATGCCAAAAAAATATTGAAGCGAAAGGAATTTCAATCTATCAAGTAATTGTTGAATTTCAATTTCAAATGACATTTAACTACCTAAATGTCAACCATCCCATGCCATGATTCTTGATCAAAATTGAATAAGAATTAACATTTTCCTATATATATTTTGATGAACGCATCTCATATATAAAATTGGGATATATATATATATATATATATATCAAGCATTATACAAAAAGTTTTGTTTCACTTATTGATTACATTACACAGGAGGTCACACATCACTTGCCAGTTTGCTAAAATAAAGATATGATACCTAATAAACTACACATCAAAAATAAATAAATAAATAAACTAATTTATTCCTAGCAATGCTGTAAAATATTTTACTCTGTCTCCTTCTTCGGTCGAATGATAGCACATTTCACAATAAGCCCACTCTTCCACAGTTCAGTATGATCCTCCAGAGAGAATTCCATCGGTCCAACGTTTTCTGGTGACATTTTAAACTCACCCAACTGGATATCAAACCAACTTTCTAAAGGCTTTTCATTTAGACTTTCATTGCGTGTTAGCTTTTTTGAATTTGGAAGAATGATGGTAAGTTTTAACGAGAAATCTTCATATTTGATCATCCTCACAACAAAAACAATTTCGTAAACTATTCCTGGTGAGAGATCAATTGCCCCATTAAATTGCCCTCTAACATCTAACCAACATACCTGTAATAGCTCAGCCACTTCAATCTCTTCACCACTGCATGCCAAACCGGGCAAATGTTAAAACTGTCCATGTTCATTATAAATAAATAAATAAATCCAGAACCACAAATTTTTGTTTCCTGCACAACTAATATATATATATAGATATATACGATTTGCCCATTTCATGAACAAACGTTCTTTGAAGAAGTAACTCACAGTTAGGCTCTATTGCTTTAGGCCATGCCATTGATCCGTCTCATTGATTAAATGTTAAATAGCCTTAAGTCAACATAGCATAACATGACATTAAGTACTTAAGCTATACACATTATTTAACTTACCTTGTCTCCTTCAATGTGGTCCATCGCCAATATTGAGGCTTATCAATCCAACTGATATTAAGTTCTCTTGCAAATAGCACAAAGCAGTTCTTGTTTGACTTCTTGTCGACAAAATACTTCTGCAATAGGCAGTAATGACAACACAAGCATGGATAGCAATAATTAATGACAATAATGTGAAACCCAAAAAAAAAAAAAAAAAAAAAAGCAATATCATATACGGGTGGCACATATTTTTGGATTTCAAAGTATGAAATATGAAATTATACTGATTCTGCAATAATAGTGTGACTAGTTCATATATGAAATGGGCTTTAAGTAGTACTTGCCAGTTTGTTGGGCTTTAAGTATACTCCAGAGTAGAGCTGCTCACACAGCTTGTCAGGGGAAGACATGTCAATTGATATATTTGCATCTTTCAAAATCGCTAGGAAATTAAGTGGGGGCCTTGTTATTCCTTTTCTTGCTGCAATTTCCTTTGCTTTCCTTGATGAATCTGCCTTGCTGGTCTGTTCAACTTGTTGGATCTCTGAAACCCCATTAGGCACCATCTAGCCACCACCAAAAAGGAAAAGCAAAATTAAGGAAACAATAGTTATAAAAATTATTTAAAAAAAAAAATAATAAAATCTAAATGCTATTTCAGATTTTAAGGGATAGAAAGAAAGAAACAACCACATACATTCACATCTGGTGCACCATCGATTTGCATAGAGAAAGAGCACCTCCAGAAGGGGGCTTTGTTGATGGGATTCTCTCTTTTATAATATTCTCTTCCTCTTCATTTTGCATGGAAGTTATTTTATTTTATTTTTTGACATGTCCGAAAGATTTCAGATTCTATCATCAACCAAATGGGCTGGACCTGGACATTAATACAAGCAAATTGGAGGCCATGTACACAACATGACCTCCAATTTGGTGTTTCTGTCCAGCATTGGAATAGCTGCTGGTTGTTGCCATCACATGGCTGTGTTTGAATTGTTAGCTAGTAGCACGTGGGTTCTGATAGTGCATCAAATCTCTTGCATGTGCAAGTGTTTGTTCATTAATGGGTGTAAGTGTTTGTTTATTAAATTTAGTGGGTTCTAATGGTACATCAAATCTCTTGCATGTGTAAATGTTTGTTTATTAATGGGTGTAAGTGTTTGTTTATTAAATTTAGTGATTTGATGTGAAATGGATGTGAAATCTATTTCTATGTTCAAAATTGGTCACGAAGAGAGTTTTTAACACTTTTTGACGAGGAAGCCTTTATAACTTCAAAGGAAAAAATATATATAAGAAAATAAAGAATATATTGGTGCATCAAATCTCTTGCATGTGTAAATGTTTTTTTATTAATGGGTGTAAGTGTTTGTTTATTAAATTTAGTGGGTTCTAATGGTGCATCAAATCTCTTGCATGTGTAAATGTTTTTTTATTAATGGGTGTAAGTGTTTGTTTATTAAATTTAGTGGGTTCTAATGGTGCATCAAATCTCTTGCATGTGTAAATGTTTTTTTATTAATGGGTGTAAGTGTTTGTTTATTAAATTTAGTGGGTTCTAATGGTGCATCAAATCTCTTGCATGTGTAAATGTTTGTTTATTAATGGGTGTAAGTGTTTGTTTATTAAATTTAGTGATTTGATGTGAAATGGATGTGAAATCTATTTCCATGTTCAAAATTGGTCACGAAGAGAGTTTTTAACACTTTTTGATGAGGAAGCCTTTATAACTTCAAAGTAAAAAATATATATAAGAAAATAAAGAATAGACATCATCTAAGGGTAGGTGGCTTAGCCAACCATTTCTACAAATTAAATTCTATATTTAATCATAAGAAAATTCTGAAAATATAATTTAAGAAGATGAAAGAACAAGAAATAAAATACAAGAAATTAAAGAAACTACATCTAAGGATAGGTGGTTCAACCAACCATTTCTACAAGTTAAATCACATATTTAAGTATAAGAAAATTATGAAAATATAATTGAAGAACATGAAAAAACAAAAAATAAAATACAAGAAATTAAAGAAACTGCATCTAAGGATAGGTGGTTCAACCAATCATTTTTACAAGTTATATCACTTTTTAAAGACGAGAAATAGAAACAAAATAGATGAGAAAATTGCAACTTTGGAGGAAATGATGAATTTTCTAATTTTCAAACTCTCTTCCTAGCACCCTCAAGATTATGGAGTATGTTTTTAAATCTCAACAAGAAAATTCATGTTTTAGCTTTAGTGAAGTTTTGGATGGTATATCAATATATATTAGTGAAAGGTAAGAAAATGGAGGTTTATATCTTGATTTGTATTTTATCTCAATTTTGGCAAAACAAACTCTTTCTTTGTTCAAGGCTTAGACCTCTCTCAAATCAAAAATTTTCAGCACCTTAATCATAGTTCTAATGGTCTTCTTATATAGGCAATTGAAGAAGGTTTTCTTAGTGGAAAAGTGGAAGACAATGGTGGAAGACAATGTATAATGGAGGTGGATGGTAAGTGGTGATGGTGGTGTGTGATTAGGAAAATGGATGGTGAGTGTTGGTGGTGTGTGATTAGGAAAGTGGATGGTGTGGGAATAGTGATGTGTGATTTACGAAAGTGGATGGTGAGGAGGGATGGTGGGGAGTCCAAATCCTCTGCAGGGTTTTTCCTGCAAGGCATCCTGGTGGAGCTGGGGATCAGGGCCACCAAGCTCCGCCGTACGTGAGCTCTCTTAAGAGGATTGAAAAAGAAAACCCCCAGAAGAATGCAGAAATTAAATTGTATTTTAAAATAAAAAAAATCAGATTATTGCCATTGTAAAATTCTTAGAGCCTGTGGGTGGATTGAGGGATTGGAGGTATAGGGTAATCGGAAGATTGTTTATTAATTTTATTTTTATTTTTTTTATAATGAACCATAAGAAGATATTAATAATTTTTAAATTAATATTAAGTATAAAAATTTAAATAAATTATTAAAAAAATATTTCACATAAAATTTTATAATTAATTTTAATTAAAATCGAAAAGAAAGTATTTTGTATAATTAGTATATCATAAATAATGTAAAAAATTTATATATTTAAGTCTTAAACTAAATTATATAATGGTAAGATAAATTAAATTTTTATAAAATTTGAGTAAAAATTTCATATAATAGTGATATTAGTTTATTATTGACATATGATATCACCGATCAATAGTAAATTAATATATGAAGGGTAAACTTCACATACAAATATAACTAAGACTCTAGTAATTTTTACATACATATGGCGTTGTTTGAGATGATCCATATAAGTGCACTTTCTGGCTAAAAAATAGGGGGAAAAAAATAATTGTTTGAAATAACTTTTTGACTTTTTATGAAAATATGTACATTTTAATATTATAACAAATACCAAAATTATTGTATTACTCCTATGTCCCCTATGCGTATTGACAGTAACGAATGACTTAGCCAGTGAAACACTATTTTTTGTTTTGTTTTTTTTGATTTTTTTTTTGGCAGTTTGTACATCTTCCAGATTTGGTTTGTGATTGGACAATGGCAACAGGGAGAAGAGGAGGGGACAGCGGCGAGCATTACCCGCTTGTGCAAATTGTTTTTTTTTCTTTCTTTTCTTTCTAATTATTTTGATTATGTAACAAATTTAAAAATACAATTATAATATTTATTTATTTTTTTCAATTACAATTTATTATTTTTTTTAAGATTTTTTTTTTGTAATTATTATTTTTGCAATTACAATTTATTATTGTTTTTTGCAATTACAATTTATTGCAATATTTGTTGTAGTTGTTGTGACTTTGGTACAACAAATTATTTCCTTGTAATTAATGATATAATAATACAATCACTTTGAGCAACATACATCAGTGTTACACAGCATATAGCGAATATAACACCCGCCACAGCAACAAATGCGCCAGCCTTAACTGTGCACTTGCTGTTGCAGTGCGTATATAATATTCGCTCTTACAGTTGTCATATGGGATCTGAGTCCCCTAGCTACATGATATCATCAACTTGGGTGTATTCGGGGCGGTCGGGCATTTGCGGCGTAACATACTTGTTGTCGTCTGGGAGATTGTGCATAATCGTGTCAGATTGATTGTGCCAGCATATGAAATTATGTAAATCCATCAACGCACATACGAAGGGCACTTGATCGGAAAATTTTATCTTTGGCATATTTTGCAAAGCCCCCCACCTTGACTTCCAAGCACCGAATGTCTACTCGATACAACTACGCAAAGACAAATGTGCCTTGCTAAACCGTTTGAACTCGTTCTATGGTATTCGGCTACGATGGGCATTTTGGTGATAGCGATACCCCTTGTACGGGGCTAGATATTCTGTCTTGTTGTTGTACCTGCTATCGACCAAGCAAATGTAGAACAATATAACTTATAAATATGAAATGGTATTTTTATGAAATCGTTACGACTTTTTCACTTTCGTGTTTACTTTTGCCCTTCATATATTATTGATAAACTATTGTTTACTAACTTATGTTAATAATTGAAATACAAAAATTACAGTAACCCTTCACATAACAAAAATATTCTATTAATTTAATGATGAGATTCCTCGGCAACTTCAAACTTTAAATCGTATGTGGGATCAAATAAAAAAATGTATTGTTCGTACTTGTCTACCCCCTATTTGATTTTTGTTAGCATATACTCCTAAATTTTTGTAGTTCTTATTTGAAAATTGATATAATCTGGTTTTTATTGTACCAAGAAACCTTTTGTTACCATCACCTCTGTGATTAATTTTTTACAGTTTGTCATGTTCATTGTGACACGGGAATTTCTTACCGGGCGTAGGGTGTGGGAATCGATGTTTAGGCTCGGTTGTTACATAGTGTAACACCCTATTGTCGTGCATGCTCCCATCCCAATTGGCGTACACAAACGTGAAGCACAAATCAAAGTCAAAAATGACAATAATATTTTGCATTGGCACGCCTTTCCGGCCATAGTATGAGAAGGCGTATTTGTTGGACACACGGGCCATAACGTGTGTGTCGTCCAGTGCCCTAATGCAGTCCTAAACAAGTAAAAATTGGTAAATGTAAAATTTTATTGCATATGTTATGAATGACTTCGTTGCACAAAAATTTATACATGATGTCACCTTGAATGGCCGGTACTGCGGCTGGGAGCGTAAATGTGGATGGCCCTCTTATTGGACTTGATTGAGCGCAAGACTCCTACTATGGATTGACGTAAATGGTATCATAACTTGCAAAACCTTGTGGAAATGGCGTGACAATGTCTCTTTTGAGTGTTGGAACCGTTCTTGCAAATTTCTCCATGAAATTCCTTGCAAAACAGAAATGAAAATTGCTACATTCTCTTCGAGCGGCACTCCATGCTCCCGCTGCGACACTATCAACCCAAAATCGTGTAGAGTGTCGCACAACAACAAGAACACTGCTCAGAGCATACTGACTGCATCTTCAAACCGGCATTGGTGGCCGTTAAACAACTCGTACATCCATAATCGGCCCGACAAGATTGATATATTTCATGGGACTTTGCAGCAATTGTTGTAATAATACATTGTCGCAATGTTCCACGCTTCTACCAAGTTGTAGTCAGTTTGTACAACCATTTCCCACACATCGATTACATCCTCTAACGGTGAATTTCCATAGATGTTACTGGGACTAGCTTCATCCGCCATGTTACGTATATGATGATGAAAGGGTGACCAACAATGGAGGAAGAGAGAGAGAGAGAGAGAGAGAGAGAGAGAGAGAGAGAGAGAGAGAGAAGGGCTCTGCCAATCTTGCAAGCAAAAATGAATTTTAAAACCAATGTGAAGGAAAAGATAGGCAGGGACAATAGCATGACAGCCCTACATGAGTTGCCTTGCCAAGGATTTCAATAAAGTGCATAATACAATAAAATTGTTGTACT